CACCATTCACCACCACTCTCTGGCCCAGTCATCCCACCAGTTTTTTACCCAGCGAAGGGTGCACCCATCCAAGCCGTGGGCCGCCAGCTTTTCCAGGAGGATGCTGTGGGAGACTGTGTCAAAGGCCTTGCTGAAATCAAAGTACACCTTCCCCACATCCATTTACGGCAGTTGGATATTTTGTGCTAATTTCTTTGGTATTTATGCTTTTCTCTTGTACCAAAGCCTCATGCAGGATTCATAAGGTTAACACAAGAAGTAGGGAATGCCAACTCTTCGTTATTTTGGAAACCTCTGTTAACAAAAATCTCTTCCCCCACATTTTTGAGGCCCTGACTGTGGCAGCTGTCACCAATGCTCCCCCTAGCTTCCTTGGCACAACTCGGCACAGCCCGGTCCATGCCTGGCAGCTCGTCCCGTGGGAAAGCCTGGGCTGAAGCTGGGGTGTGCAGCGCGCCGCTCGCTTGGGCCTTGTGCAGCAGGGTAGGGTGGGCAGTGCATGAGAGCACTGGGAGGGAAAAGGAGCTGTGGGCAGTTATGCCAGGTCTGGTGGGAGATAGGCATTAAAATTGGCATCTTGCCCTAACGTTAGCCAAAAGGTGCAAACCTGTGTTAAATTGCTGGGTGGGAGTTCAGACACAAGCAGTGTTCTGTCTGTGGAGACCACGATAAGCCAGATGTGTGCAGTAGGGAATGATGGGACAGCAGTTCACAGGAAGGTTTGCTTTTATAAAATGCATTTTTACTGGACATGTTTTTAATTTCAGTTGTCAAAGCTTAACTAAATGCTTCTCTTTTGAGAGTGCCGAGGGAGGGAGACTGGAGTTTAATTCACTGGAGGGATCTTAGTGCCATTTTATTTTGGGTATCAGCTGCTGATCTGATAAAGTGACTCCATGGAAAAAATCACTTCCATAAAGTATATTCTATTTATATGATACATGCTTGAATTATTAATGGTGCTTCTTCCTGCACCCTGACCGTGGGAAGAGAGTAGATTTGCTTTAGGACTTTTGGCAAAGTACTTGTGCAAAGAGGAGGCCTAGGAAGGTGATGTGTGAGAGTCTCAGGCAAAGATTAATATCTCTGTAGCAGGACAATGCTGTCGGGAGAGTCTTTGCCTCCTGGTGTCAGATACTAAAGTATCTTTTTATTAAAAAAGCAAGTAACAACAACAAAACAAACTAACCCTTAAGGAAGTATTTCTCCTTAGCGCACCCTCTTCTGGGCAAGTTCTTAGTGTCAGGATTTTGTAATGAGTTCTTAAGATCTTTTGTGTTGTTTTAAATTCCTTTGTCTCTTGGGTGCCTCTAGTGTTCTTGGAAATATAACTTCTGATAGAACAACAGAAGCAACTTCTTAATACAATGCCTATCAATAATGTTATGTGTAAAATTCCTGGTTTTTCTTCATCGTACTGGTGGATATATATTGTTTATTATTTTGTTTTTAATATTTTTCTTTGTAACAATTCACCTTGTGTTAGATATTCTTCATATCCTTGTGAAGATGCCATCTGTGTGGCAGTGTGGCATTATACAGTATTTTTGACATAACCAGTGAATATAGCAGAGACTGAAATAAGCACTGTTTCAGAAACCCAAACACCTGCAAGACAGCTTGCTGTCATTCTAAGGGAAGCAAAGTAGACCTAATTGAATTTCACTCTTTGCTGCTGTAATAGCTTTTTAGTTGTCTGCTTGTCACTTTCTGTGTGTTTGGAATGCCATAGTGATGAGTGTTAGAGCCACTGGAGAGAATAATGTAGAGGTGGTAGTTTCTCGGTTGTACCTGGGAACTGTACTCTCCATAAACAGTCCCTTTAGGCTCCTGTCAGTTATGCAGGGGATGCTTTTCCTGTGAAACACTAGAAATTTGAACACCTGGGCTTTACTTTGCCAAGTGTGTACCTTCCTGATGTACCAGAGATTGCCAGCCTGGTTGCTACCTGGTTGCTGTTTGGAAATGATCCGTGTATTGCGTGAGGTCCCCTAACTGGTACCTTGACCAGCTTCTGGCAAACACGCCTTACATGATCTCTCCTGTTGTGCTTTGTGGTAAGACTGAGTTCTGCATCCCATGTTCTGACTAAGAGAAGGTCGGAGAGAGAAGGTTTTTAATAAAAACAATACATTTTCCCAGAAACTTCTGTGTGAAAGCCAACTCTCCTGCATTCCTAGTAACTTACTATCTACTCCTTTGTCGTGGGACTTGATAATGCTGCAAAAAAAATCTGTATCTCCAGGAATTTAGAGTCATTTGAGCTATACATCACTTATCTTTCCATGATGGAAACATCCTACTACTACGGCTAACAGTTGCATATTTGCATTGAGGAGAAGCTAGATGGGATGTGGTAGAACATGCTGACACGGTGAGAAGAGGAAGTTGAAGGTGTGAAGTACGAGTACCAGCAAGGCTGGTGAAAGAAAGCCAGATGTATGCAAGAGAGATGAGTAAGAGAGTAGAAAAAACAAATTGCAGGCTAAGTATTTATAAGTTAAAGAGATCGTTACTTAGTTCATATAGTCATACAACGTGTTGGGCTGGAAGGGACTTTTAAAGGTCATCTAGTCCAGCTCTCCCGCAGTGAGCAGGGACGTCTTTAACTAGATCAGGTTGTACACTCCCTCATAAGCAGCCCTTCCCCCAGCTTCCCTGTAGCCCCCTCAGGCACTGAGAGGCTGCTGTAAGGTCTGCCCAGAGCTTTCTCTTCTCCAGGATGAACAACCGCAACTCTCTCAGCCTGTTCTCGTAGGAGAGCTGCTCCAGCCCTCTGATCATCTTTGTGGTCTCCTCTGGACCCACTCCCAACAGGTCCATGATCTTCTTGTGTTGGGGACTCCAGAGCTGGATGCAAAACTCCAGGGAAGATCCCACAACAGAAGAGCAGAGGGGCAGAATGCCCCTTCCTTGCCCTGCTGGCCACGCTACGTGTGATGCAGCCCAGGGTGCGATTGGCCTTCTGGGCTGTGAGCCTGCGTTCATGGCTCGTGTCCAGCTTTTTGTTGACCGATGCCCCCAAGTCCTTTTCCGCAGGGCTGCTCTCCAGCACCTCATCCCTAGCCTGGATTGATAATGAGGATTGCCCTGACCCAGGTGTAACGACCTTGCACTTGACTTGTTGACTTGTGAGGTTCACATGGGTCCACTTCTCCAGCTCGTCCACATCCCTCTGGTATATCAACCGCACTGCTCAGCCTGATGTCAGCGGCAGACTTGCTGAGAGTGCGCTTAATCCACTGTCTAGATCATTGACGAAGTTATTAACAGCACTAGTCACAGCATGGACCTCTGAGGTTTATTACCTGCAGTGTCCTGTCCAGAGAAATGTTACGTTCAGGCTTGACCTTAACCTCTGTAGTGAAAACTGAGTATGGGGAAGAAGGTACAGCTAGAAAAAAACACACCCAACATGAATCCTCAAAGCCTTGGAGACATTGCGTACCACCTGTATGAAGAACTTGCCTTCGGCAGTGCTCAGCTCCTGAGGGTGGGCGGCAGAGCATGTGCTGTGGCTGCAGGGCTCAAAGCGCAGTTTCCGAGGTGGGATCCAAGCAGCCTGTGTGCTGGTGTACAGATTTGCTGGGAGAGTGTAAACTCCGAAGGAATACTGGCTTTTGATTGTGGCTACCTCTCCTCTCCATATGAGAAACAAAGTCTTTCGACAGAAATGAACTCTTCCTGTAGGACTTCATTTTGAGTTATGTCTGTGTTGTTCAGGCAAGAAAACCATAACCATTTTTTAGTTGGAGCTGCTAAGAGGTCTCCTGTGAGAAACGTTCAGTCATCTGGTGTGTGACTGATCCTTGACTTGACAGGACTTTCTGCAGGACAAGAAGTGTCTTCTGTAGCTGTCCTTGATGTTCTGAATAAAGAATGTTTTGTTTGTAGTAGTCTGATTTTTAACCATTTAACTTTGTGCTCTTTCTTCAGAGGATGTGCTGAGTAAAGATACTGGGGAGTGTGCAATATGCTTGGAAGAGCTGCAGCAAGGCGATACTATAGCACGACTGCCTTGCCTCTGCATATATCATAAAGGGCAAGTATTCCTCAGGATGCATATAAAATTCAAGAAGGTTGCATTTATTGGGTAACTTCTCTAAGGGGTGCTTAAAGGAGCACTAAAGCTTACCTGTTTTTTACGTTTAAAAAACAAACAACAAAGAAACAACAGCAGCAACCTTAAAGATGGTTTGAAAATTACCTTTCTCCATCTCTATCAATGTGTTTGAAGTAATTTTTCTGCTACCATGGTCTTCTCATATTTCCATGAGAAGCTTGTGGGAAAAATAAGGCAAAATCACTTTTAAGGGGAAGGAGTGTGCATCTCGGTTAGGGAGTTTAGGCTGTGTGTGTGCTTAAGTTCTGTCAAATGCTAATAGACTTCGTGGGGAGAGGAGGGAACGCTTTTTAAACCTGTTTCATACTTGTTTTCCCAAGCGTTCGTAACTACAGGAAGTAAAATGTCAATGAATGATCAGAGCAAGATTATAGTAGTGAAGTAACCTGTGTGTAAAAGCTGGGTAGTAACTTGCAAAATGCATCCTTAGACGTATTTTAACACTTTGAAAACTGAGTATTTCAACACTGTTTAATATCCAAATATTACTATAGTGTGGGGTTACTAAATTTTCCATTAATGTGTGTATATAAATATACTTCTTTGTATAATGTAAAATCTTACTTGTCCTCGAAATGCTGAGAAAATAATTTATATTCATATCTTGCTGCTGAATGTTACTGAGATATTCATGTAAATTGTTTTCATTTTTGTCTTGCATCCAACAGCTGCATAGATGAATGGTTTGAAGTAAATAGATCTTGCCCTGAGCATCCATCAGATTAAGACAAGATTCATGGTTTTAGGTAATATTTTTAGATGTTTACATTTCAACAATAAATACCTTGATTATCTGAAATAACGCTTTATGCTTCTTTTTTTTTTAATTTGTGAATTTGCTAGTGTGTCTTAGAACTGCAAAATAAATCCGTAAGTATTGATGTATATTACTATATTGACATATGTTGCATATTATATTATGTTGACATATGTTGCAATATGGAAAAGGTTTTTACATGCTTATATGGCATCATCTGAAATGATGTATTCCAGTTCTAGTACTGGAAAGTGGAAAGTAGTGCCAATAAATCTTTAGCATTAACTTTTAAGGAGTATTTTTCGCATGGAAATGAAAGAAAATAAAAATAATACAATTGTATAATTTTATATTCTCCATGAGTACTGGCATTTATTTCCGATGGAAAGATTTTGGAATCATAGGAAAAATTTGAAACTAGGTGTTTTGAAAAACGACATGCATCCAGGAATGTTTTAAATAAATAAATAAAAATATTAACATGTTTCTATCCATCCTGTCTCACAGAGATTCCCATTTTTCCAGCTTACGTTTTGTGTTAATGATTGCAGATCTGCAATTGGTGTCAAAGTTTTAAAGGATAGGTTCATTCTTTGAGTTGACTAGTTTGAAAACATTATCTTGCATTAAACTGTTGCCTCTGAGCATTGCAAAACACATTAACAATAAAATTCCTAGAGGAATGGAGATATTTGAAATTCTGTTTGGAAGCTTAGGATTTGGTTTTGTTCTTCTGATAGAAATGATACAGAAAAAAATTGCGAAGACTTCATCGTTGGCAGTTATGTCTTCACTTGTTTCAATGAATGTGCACTGCAGGTCACACTGAATGCTGTGGTTGTTACAGGGGTAACAAAAAAAAACTGAAGGAAGGTGTCCTGCTACTGGGATAATTGTTTTAACCTCGGGGTAGTGTTAGTGGAAATCAGTGATCAAACACATTTCTTATATTGCCCCCAACAATTCTGGAAGAGGCCCACATGCTGTTTGTAAACACGTTTGTCCCTGTACATGCTCCTGGGTGTCTAATCTCATGTAAGTCCTGTTTGCTTTTTTCCCCAGCAGATGTGATAACAGACATCGTAGGGAAAAGGGGAAGGAAAACACGGGGGTTGTGCTTGTGCTGTTTGGGTGTGTTACGTGCTGAAGTAGTTGAAATGACGGTCTTTTGGCTTCTGCTTTTTCAACAGCTGCTTCCACTGATCAGAAGACACAGGAGATGTGAGGTTGCCATGCTGAGCACAGCGTGCCTGGCCTGAGACATACAGTTCTTTGTGGCTGAAGGAGACAGAGATGGACGGTGACACGGAAGAAGCATTGTAGATGCCGTACTTGCCAGTAGTGCTTGGTACACTAAACACTCATGTGAAGGACACACAGGGATTTTGAAAATGCTGCACATTGTGTAACAATCGACTCCCCACAGACATTACTGACAGTGTTTTGTATCGACGGCCAAAGTTCCTAATTTCAGCCTAAGTTCTGGTTCTGTGAAGAAGCGGTTTATGGGACACGTTTTCGACCGCCTCAGGTGAGAGCGGAGATGTTCAATACATGCTGTGTGAGACCCTTGCAGAAGGATGGCCCCGATTTTGAGTGGGAATGCTTTCACCTTCACCTTGGCTGAAGAAGCGTAAATGGCAAACTAAATATAATCTAACAGTGTGACCTTAATTTACTGAATTCACACCCTGTTTTACGTTTTTCACTTTTTTTCCAAGAACAGAAAACAAACTTCTCTGCATAGGAATACTATATTTCAAAATTTTGTAACTAAAACTTTGTCACAATGCAGTCCAAAGAGTAAAACCAAGACAGGTAACTAATTTATATTGATCAAGCTATAGGAATTGTTGAAATCTGCACATTGTACTGCTATTTAAGTAACTAAAATCTCTCTTTTACTGCTTGTGAGTAAAAACAAAAAAATGCCACAAAGCAAAATCTTACAGCTATGCAACTTTTTTTTAAATAGGAAAAAAGAAGAAGAATTACCAATTTTAAGTGCTGCCAGTTAAGGTAATTTGTTTAACGGGTATTTTTTTAAAAATGTTTCAGGTAATTATTTTATTGTACTACTCTCATCTCTAGGCTGCCTCCTGAGGTGTAAATGAATAACTGCAAATGTGGGCACAGCGAGAGGTTTTTATAGGCATGGATGAGACAACATCAAGGTGGGATTTGTGTTTAATTTTTAAAACAAGGCAAGATTTTATTTTCCTGTTTGAATGAATTTTTTTTTTGGTTTTTTGATGGCAGGATCTGTAGTGCTTTGTATCTAAATCCTTGGTCTCTTTATGTGGAGACCAGCATTTGACAGTGTGGTTTGTGTTGTGCTTTGTTTTTTGGGGTTTTTTTTCCTTTTTTAAGTGCACCTGCATTTGTTTAATTTATTATTATTGTTTTACTGTATTATATTGGTATAACCAGGACTCCGTGAAACACAGGATGTCTCTGGTGACGTACACCAAGTAAAACTCTGGACTAGTTCCCATAAAGTAACACAGTTCAAAAAAACCCACCAAAAACCAGGGAAAAAAGATAATTAACTGGAACAGATATCAGGGCTTAGAAGCATACTTTTTATATCAAGAATTAATCGTAGTAGTTTCTGAATTTCACAGCACGGGGAAGAATTTATGAATATTTATTAGCAACAACATTTTAGTGGTTTTCAATAGATAAATTGCACAACACTTGAAACTTTTTCGTGTACGTACATAAATTCACTGTAAGTACATATTTCTCTCTGTTGCTACTGTGTTTCCTATCAAAAAGGGCAAAGAAGAGGAACAACTGCTGCTATCTGGAGAACAAGTGCAGTGCGTGTCATTTAAACTGCCCTACCTTGCTTGCAAGCCGTTCTTGCCTGGGTGACATTTTCTCTGGAATGTTGCTCTGTGAAATGCCTTTGTTACCCTGCAAATCTAAAGGAGTCCAAGTTAGATAGCTGTGGCCGCTGGTGCAGTTTTTACACTTTTGAACTTGCATCACTGGTTTCAACTGAACCTGTAACAGTGGAGCCCTATCATATTCTCCTTTTCAGTGGGAGCAGAATCATTTTGTCACACTGTTCTGTAGCCACATCACATGTACAGACGTTCCCTGTACAGATTCCTTTCTAGCCGAGAATATTTGTATTGCCTTGTACTATGGGGGAGGGGAGGGAATGAGGAATTACAGCACCTGCAATACTCGAAGAGTGGTCTTGCCTGCAGGCCTACTTTTCCAATGGTTTAAATTCCTGCCATCTTCTGAAAGTAAAGCTTTTGCATTTGCATTGATTTGATGCTTACTGTTGGCTTTGTGCCTACAGAAACTCACCTGTAGTAATGTAAAGGGGGTAGGTAAATGTTCTGGTGTCCTGTGCTCCGAGGTCGTAGATAGCCTCTGGCTTGGGGGTTAAGTAGGTAAATATTATAAACATAAAGCTGTTTACAACTTAAGCTTAATTTTGGTAGTTCGTATTCTAGTTCATGTACTGTTGGATTTTTTCCAAACCTTAATTTTCTGTGTTCAGATGCACATAGCTGGTTTAAAGACACAGCAGTTTTCACTGCTGTCCTGCATTTCAAACCAGCCTTTGAAGAGCATGTCACTAGTAATTGCACTGATGCATGGTTTCGCAGGCGAGAGTCCCTTGCTGCTTCTGTCAGCACAGTAGAGCAGCAATACCTTGGATTATTTGAGGAACTGATACAAGATGAGCCTTAGATCCTAGTTTGGCATTCTTGGTGTCTGTAAGTCTGTTCTGAAAGGTTGTGGGAAGTTTTCTTGTCTCAAAACCTGTACTACAGACCGAGCCTAGAACGACCATGGAAGCATGCGTGATGCTTGGATTTGAAGATACCTGTGGAAATTCACCCACATAAGCTTTCTGTCACAGGCTGTGCCGGTCACTTAGCAATGATCGTGCAGCACATGTAGCTCTAGTCATAGGCAACACCTTCATTTTAAAAATGTCCTGGCAGTGGTCCTGAATCATTGTGCTTCAGAAGGGCAAAATAAACACCAAACAAGTCCTGTCTCTGTCAAAGAACACCGCACTTGTCAACAAGAAGCAATAACTTGAATTACGGTGCGATATGCTTCTTTGCCTGTAAATATATTGAGACTTCCAATTCTGTGCTGTTTGAGAGTATTTTCTGTCATCTGGCCTCTGTATTCCCTAAGTATGGAAAGGTGTGAAATAATTCCCATACTCAGGTCTGCCATAAACGTGCTGCTTGCCAGAAGGGGAAGAGTAGACTCGATGCTGTCTTGAAATACGAGATTTTTCTGAACTTGTCACATACTCCTGTATCTGGAGTAGGAGCTTATGTTCTGAAGTTCGTAGTGGAGGTGGCTGTGACTTAGACTGTGTATAACTGTGTCCCGTATAATGCAGAGGGAGCTGTGCTGCTGTTGGCATGAGGCATCCTTTCTCCTGTCTCTTATAAATCAGGGTATCTGTAATAACACTTTCCTTCTGAAGGAGGTAGCTAATATTCTTTCAGCGTGCATATTCAGTGGTAAGTTTGTTGAGACATAAAAGCCAAAACATGAAGCACATTGCAAATTTGTGGTATTTCAGTTTTGGGAAGAAAAAAGGCTAAAACAGATGATGTTATTTGTTTATGAGTTTAATTTTTGTATTCAAGGGTAAGTGTACTGCAGTGTTGTGAAATGGAAGATGTGTAGGTGGTGTACAAAGATGTGGGTGGAGACTTGTGGATTTATTCTTCCCTGCTCCTCCCCTTTATGAGGTAACGGGAGTTTTATGGTCAAATCTTGAGATTTATACATTTATCTTCGTTCTTAATGTTTAGGAGAATTGACTTTTTCAATTCACTTTGCTGAAAAGGCTGGAGAGCTGGTAAAACCGACTTCCAGAAGATGAAAATCTCAGTAAATGTGGGCGAGAGAATTGTTACTTGGAAATGTGGGTCTTCGGTGTTTCTGGATGGCCTCTGTCTAATGTGTAAGATGTGCTTATGGATGCTTTTAGTATGCTGCCTTTTCCATGTGAGGGCTTCAGAAACTTGCTCCATTTCTGTGTTCCACCAAAAGCAGAGAGCTTAGCACTTGAGTCTTACTACTGTCTCTGCATGAACAGCAACAAAACACATTGGTTTTGACATAGACCTTGATCTCTCTTGGGTATCTGTGAATTTTATCTTCTTTCTCATACCCAAAGAGAATATCTGTGTGCAGAATTGGTATTGTTGTTTTGTGCCTACTGGTTTTGCTGTACAGTTGGGAGTTTCCTGATGAGGGATGACTGTATGCCCGGGAGTGCAGAAACGCTCCATGGATCTTCCAGCTCACTTTTGCCAATGCAGGATAATCTCAGTTCTTGTTGAGTGCTATATTTTGTGATTCGCTTTCCACCCTTCAAGCTTAAAAATAATTTTAGCATCAATTTCTTCTCTTCCTAGCTGAAGATGTGTTATGTTTTAGGCTATTCCCTCAATCTTTGGACAGGCTTTCCATTGGCTTCAACAAAAGTAACATAAGAGGATGTAGCTGGAAGAGAAAGGCTTGTTATGGGGTTTGCTACAACGCAGCCAAATGTGTGTTTTCCTGCAGCAGTGTCATCAGCTTGTACCAGTTCTTATTATTAGAAATACACCATGTGAGAAATTCAAGACAGAACTATGTCCGGGTATAGTTTCCTGAATATAAAGCTTAGGATGTTTCACCATATAAATAAGCCTGCTTCTAAAATCAGATTGAAGATATTTTAGCCTGTTGGGAAAGAAAAACAACAACAACAGTCCTTAGTCTCAAGGTATCTCAAGCTCCTTTCGGTTATCTTGCTGCAATTTGGCTGGCTTCCCAAGCGGCCGCCGCATGGTGTTCTATAAAGTCATTTTTCAATTAAGTACATCAGAGCTGGCGATGGAATAAACTCTAAAACAACCTCTCTGTTGGATATTACTAGCTGCTGAAGACTTGCTCAGGTAAACCACTGCAGGAATATCCTGCACCTGAAAAGTGTGGGACTTGGTTCTGTCTTTGATCTGATAAGTTGCCAGTGTACAAGAAATAGAAGGCAGCAAACTCACTAGCTGATCTTTCTAATCTATGTATGTTTGTTTGATAGACTTTTGCCCTTGGGTGTGCTTTGGCAAAGATTTTTGCAATGATAAGTAGGATTTGCTTGATTCTGGCAGAGTTTCAATTTTAAGTAACCCAGTGTTGCAAGAACATAATCTGTTGCTGAATCCTGTTCCTCTTGTTTTCCCTCAAGTCTGTCCTTTTTATTGCTAATTTGTTATACTTAGTAGTAAACACTTCTCAACACGACTGATCACAAGCTCTCAAGGTGTGAGATGCTAACAGGAGGAGAGATTGGAGCGTGATTCTGTGCACTTCCTGTGTGTATTAGGATGAAGCTGAAGTACTCGTTATTGTACAATCAAAAATTCTCTCCCAGCTGATATTGCCAAAGCGCTAAAACTTTCAAGAAGGGAGGTAGGTGGCTTAGCTGTAGAGGGAGTGTTCTAATGGACTACTTAGTTTTAAAAGCTGCGGCATCACAGTGAGTGAGTGGTGACTCCGCGTTAATCTTATCACTTGATTGTGAATCTCGTTGTGGCTCTTCCTACCCTGTGGCAGGTAGCTGCTGGTAAGGAGCGGAGTGTATATTCCTCTTATTTATATGCCTCTTCCCACAGAGCTAAACCTGCCTGCAACGAGTTAGAGGCAACTCTGTGCTAGCTTCTGAAATGCCACCTGTATGTGCAGTGGTAATGGACAAGATGTCTTCCTTCATTACCCAGAGCAGAAATTGGAAAGTAATTTGCAATGTCTAATGTAAAACATGTTTGTTCATTTTTTAATC